CTGAAATATGTCAGTTGGTATACCATCTATTCCTGGGGCCTTATTTTTTGCTATTTCCTTCAAAGCAGTTTGACCTGCCTTCATCACCATAGGCTCTTGCACAAATGTTATTTCATTAAATTCTTCTGTATCTGCCAATTCCTTTCTATACAATGACTCAGTATATTCCTTCCATCTTCTTTTGATACAGTAGATTTAAAAATATGTTGTTGGATAAGCCCTCAAGTTGCTTGCAACTCATAGCGACCCTATGTACAACAGCCCTAAACCCTGCTCTATGCTGTGTCAACCTTACTGTCTCTGACACACCTACCCCCATTGCCCCACTGACTGAATCAGTCCATCTCATTGAGGGTCTTCCACTGACTGAATCAGTCCATCTCATTGAGGGTCTTCCTTTCCTGCGCGTCTCTCCACCTTCCCAAGCTTGATGTCCCTCTCCAAGAACTGGTCCCTCCTTGTAACATGTCCAGAGTATGTCACATGAAGGTTCAGAATCTGTGCCTCCAAGGAGCAACCTGGTTTTTTACCTTCTCCTAAGTGCAGTATGATTTAATTTATATGAAATGTTTAGAATTGGCAAATCTGTAGAGACAGAAAAGAAATTAGCTTTTGTATGGCCTGGAGAGAGAGGGGGAACCATGGAGTGATTGCTAACAGGAAGGGGTTTTTTAGTTATGTTTTAAGGGTTTGGTAGTGGTAATGAAAATGTTACAGAATCAGTTGTGATAGAACAACTTTGTGAATATACTAAACCCCACTTTTGCTTTACTATTAATTACGTCACAACAAATACCTAACAATTCTAAGGAGAGGATTTTTTCAATTATTTCAAAGCTCCTTTTTTTTTCTTAGGTTCATTATAATTGTTATTATCTTTTTCTTTTTTTAAAAAAGTAATTAATGGATTCATGATTTTTTAAAATTAATTAATTTATTTTTCATTTCAGTGAACATCTACAGAGATTTTGGAATTCCATTCATTCATTGTGGCAAAGCTCCTTTTTTTTAAGATTGCATATAAAGAAACTTTTATTTCCCATGCCACTATGGGAGACTTCGAAATAATTTTTCATTCTATACTGAGAAAGTCATATAATAGACTGTGACTCACTTAAACTTTGTTTTTCCACAGTTTCTACAGCAGTACAATCACTACAAATCCAATGTGGAGATTTTCAAGTTACAACCAAATAAGCCCAGCAGAGAACTGGCAGAGCTGGTGATGTTCATGGCACAGGTAAGGAGATGACTCCTAAGCAAGCCAATACCAATTTGTTGCACACAGAATTTTTTTTTCCCCCAAGTGATACTGTTGCTTTACTCTTGAGTGGGAACTTAACTTTAAAAGTTGGGTTTTTTTTTTTTCAAGCTCTACTATTATGCAAGTTTTAGTAAGTTAAAGAACTTCCGTAGCCTTCCACAAAGCCTACCAGAACAAAGCTTTCAAACTTTATAGTTTCCTTCAAACTCACCTAAACATTTCTTGAGTATTTTCCTAAGGCTAGAGGAAATATGACAGGAGTTGGGAACTAGTATTTAGATGAAAAGGGCATGTTGTTAGGTAGGGCTAGTCCTTGGAAAAAGCAAAGGAGTGGGAGGCCCTCACCAAGAAGGATGGACAGAATGACTCTAACATTGGGCTCTCGTGTGGCAGAGATGACAAGGATGACATACAGGAGAGGGAAGGGTCACAGCTGTTGTTCACAGGTTCCTGCGAGGCGTACTCAACCCGACAGCACCTCATAGCAACAACTCCTTTTTACAGAACAGCTTAAATTTGTGTATCTGAATAACAGAAAGAGAGCTACTTCAGAAGAGTCTTTGCTTTGTTACAGATTGGACACTGCTATCCAGAACATCTCAGTAACTTTCCTCAAGAACTGAAAGATCTGCTCTCTTACAATCACACTGTCTTGGATCCTGATCTTCGAATGGTAGGACCAACCAGTATTTGGATTAATAAATTCTGTTATATTCGTGTATGTGATACATGTTAAAATGAGAGCAGCCTTTTAGCTGGGTACCTTTAAAAAATAGAAATCAGAATGTCACACACATCCTTGAAGTCTATCCCTGCTTTATCAGAATAAAATTCAGACTTACTAGCATGGTCAATAAGTTGTGACGTGCTTCCTACTTGTATTTCTGATCTGCTACCTCTCACTTCCTGCTGCCTTAACTCTCCTTGCTGGGATAATCTTTCAGGGAAGCTACCTCTTCTTTTGAAGGTGTATCTATGTGAAGAATATGACTACACCTTAATGTTTAATTTCATAAACGTATCCATTAGACAGCCAGTTTGAGTATTTAAACATTGATCACCTCTGTGGTTGATGTTGGCTCCTTGACTGGAACCCCTTTACCAGTCCACCGCACCCATTTCTCTCACCTGCTATAAGTAGTGGCTGCTAAAGGCCACTGTCCTTTAAAGAATTTCCGTCAACCAAATGGGAATCCTACTGCCTGGGAAGTTACAGCCAATTGCCGGCAAACCCAGAAGTTCAGCCCTCTTGATGAGACTTTTTGGTACAGTTTGTGCTCCGGGACATTCCTGTAACATCCCATTAAAGCTAGTCTCTTCCTACGGACACAGCCTTGGTTAGCTTCTCTGTCCTGTTTCTTCACTTCCTTCTAAGAGCACATGCCCAGAAAATCTCTGGTGTATCAAATTGGGTTCAGCTAAGGGGCCTGACCTAAGGCATTTTTAGATTTAATACTTAAGTCTTTCAAAATACCTTCACAAAAAGTAGTATAATTATGATTACAAACTATATTAATGTATTGAATCAAAACAGTTCTAGAATTTTGTTAAAAAGTCCAAAAGAAATGAAAATCTCAGATAAGCCACAGTTACAGGGTCTGTGTTTGGGACTGATTGACTCTTCATTGGGAAGTGGGTCTTGACTGCACAGACCTGCGGTATTTAAACCTGAACTGTTAGAAGTTTTTTATCTTTATTATGCGATGTCTTCAAGTCAACATAGGCCATATAGGTACGAGATTTAATTTAAAATTATTTTCAAAAATTAGGTGTTTTCAATTGTTTTTAATCTTTTTATTCTATAGATTTGCATGGTTGGCAATATCCAACCGTTCTAGTTTCTGAGCCTAATTAAATAAGTGTATTTGTGTATGTCTATTTAATTTTTTTTTTTCCTATCCCAAGACATGGAATTGACTGTCCTCTAAGGATTACTTGTTCCATGTAATGAAAAGTAATAGCAGCCAAAATACTATTTTGGTACACTAAGACAGTTTTGGTACAAAATACTGTTTGTTATACACATGAGAGTTGGTAGTAAGCAAGAGAGCTGGGAAGAGTCACTCTAATATTGAGAATAGTTTATATTATGTCTTTTAGAGTTCCAGCTCAAGTTTAATGTATGTGTGACTGATACTCTTTCTTACTTTTGTGAATTCATTGCTTACTGAAGTTTTATGTTATGTTAACACTTTCCAGAAGGACTTTCTTTGTCCTCTTGGTGTAAGGTAGCCCTCCCTAAGTCAGTGCTTACTGATCATATGACCCTGTTTTAGATCCTTAGTGTGGGAAAATAACCTTGTATATGTGTTGACTTGCTTTTCTGTCCCTTTTTACTTTTCCCCAATGTGAGTTCTTTGTGGGAGCTCCAGTGTCTAGAATTAGAAAGATCTAGCAAATAGAAGGCATTAAGTTCTTTGAGATATACATAATCCATTTTCTCATCTTATCTTACATTATGTTTTTTATCTTACATTATGTCATTATCTTACAGTATGTTTTCTTTTTCTTCCTGAGACATTTTGCAAAGCGTTGATCTTGCTGAGAAATAAGAATCTCATCAATCCATCAAGTTTGCTAGAGCTCTTCTTTGAACTCCTGCGTTGCCATGACAAGCTTCTGCGAAAGGTACAGAACAAAATTACTCCCTCCTTCCCTGTACATGTCATTCTTGTAGATATATTAAAATTTGCAGAATTTTGGAGTCTCTTGAATGTTGATGCTTTACATTATTATGTAGATTTAAGAATAATATTAATAGGAAAACAGTGAACCATTGTACGTGCAGTATGATAGTAGTATTTATTGAGTGCTTATTTTGCCAAACACCATAGAATTTCTTTATATTAGCTTATTTAAACCTGACAAAACCTTATGTAATAGTTGATTGTACTATTATAATTTTAATTCTCATTTTACAGCTGAGAAGACTGAGGCAAAGAGAGAGAGGGGGAAAAAAGTGTAATTTGCTCAAGGTTACTCATCCACTAAGTGATGGGGTTTGGCCATAAACCAGCTAGAATTCTGAAGCACTTTACTGCTGTGCTGTACTGACTGGCTAAATCAGAGCATAGACTCGTTGCTGGACCTTCTTCTCTTCTGATAAAACCAGCCATTTTGTTTATATCTCCCTATTATTTGTATTCCTTGTTTGCATTTCCTTATAAAAGGTAAAAAAAATAGGCGTCCACATTGAGTAGCCAGAGTATTGAGATACTACCACCAAATGATTTCAGTAATTGTGTTTCTTGGTGTGTCTTCACAGAATAAAAATTATCCTTAGGTACATAGTTAGAACATCGCTGGTATTTATATTCCCAGTATATACTCTTGCATACGCAGCAACTTATGTTCTTTTTTTAAAAAAGCTTTCTTGAACTTTAATTCATGTACAGTTTGCTCGTTTAAAATGTATAATGATTTTTAACAATATCATTAATATCCCATGTAAGCAAGATCCTACTGAAAATTATTCAAAAAAAGATTGCAACGGCAAGCACATCAACCTACAACTACCAGATTTGCAGGCTGGGTTTAGAAGAGGCCATGGCACTAGGGATATTACAGGCAATGTTAGATAGATCTTAGCTGAAAACAGAGAGGAATGTCTATCTGTGTTTCATTGATTATGCAGAGCCATTTGACTGTGTGGATCACAACAAACTGTGGCTAACTCTGAGAAGAATAGGAATCCCAGAACACTTGATTCTGCTTATGTGAAAACTATACTTGGACCAGGAGTTGTCCAAACAGATCAAGGAAATACTGGATGGTTCAAAATCAGGAGAGATGTACATAAGGGGTGCATCTTATCTCCATACCTCTTCGATCTGTATGTAGAACTGATCATTCAGAGGCTGGGCTCTGTGAGGCATCTGTGCGACGTTAGGTTTGGAGGAAGATTCATCGACAACCTTTGTCATGCAGATGACATAACCTTGCTTGCTGAGACTGAGAAGGACTTGAGGCATTTACTGCAGGAGGTCAAGAATTGCAGCCTTCGATATGGATTGAAGCTCAACATCAAGAAAACAAAAATTCTCCCCATTGGGCCAATTTAGCAGCATCAGTATGGATGGTGAAGAAACTGAGATTGTTAAGAGCTTCAGCTTGCTGGGCTCCACAATCAACATTCTGGGTACCAGCAGCCAGGAAATGAAAAGATGAATTACATTGGGAAAATCTACTGTCAGGGACCTCTTTAGAGTACTGAAGAACAATGGTGTCAGTCTGGAGACTAAGGTGTGCCTTATTCAGGCCATAGTCTTCGCAGTTACTTGCTGTATGTCAGAAAGTTGGACAGTGACTAATGATGATAGAAGAGAAATTGATGCCTTTGAGCTCTGGTGCTGGGGAAGAATATTGAACATACCATGGACTGCTAAGAAAACAGACAGGTCTGTCCTGGAGAGGGTGAAACCACGTTGCTCCTTGGAGACAAGGATTCTGAAATTCCATCTGGTCTGGCATACTTGGAGCATATTGCAAGGAAGGACTAGTCTTGGAGAGGGACCTCATGCTTGGAAGGGTGGAGGGACAGCACAAGAGAGGAAGACCCTAGAGGAACTGGATTAGTGACTGGGATAATGGCAGTAGGTGTGTCAGAGACATTGAATTGGTTCAAGATAGACCAGGGTTCAGGGCTGTTGTATATGGGGTCGCCCTGAGTCAGAGGTGACATGACGGCACAGAACCACAAGAGTTTTACTACCATCGTGACAAAGACAGTCAATTTAAGATTATTTTCCTCCCATAAAGAAACCCTGTATTCTGTAATAAGAAGTAAGTCTCACTCCCTATACACATACACACAGACATTTCCTCTTACCTTTCGTATCACTGATCTATTTTTAGGCTGTATAGATTTGCCTTTTTTTGCATTGTTATTGTTGTTATGTGCCGTTGTGTGGCTTTGCAACTCATAGTGACCCTATGTACAACAGCCCTAAACTCTGCTCTGTCCTGTGCCA